GCACGCACACGCACGCACGCACGCGCGCGCACACACACACACATCCTTCACAAATTATATACATTTAATATAACTTGATGCTCACCAGTAACCTAGTCCTGTATTGCTCTCCAGACTGCAACTGTATAGTAACGAATTCCGTTCCCGTCTTCAGAAGTTTTATATTAGCGACTTTAGAATTATAAATCAAAGTAACATTTTTTTTCTCAGAAAGCTGCTTGTTGATCGCGTGCAATAACAGGTCATTCTCAATTATATAGGCCAATTCTTTGCACGACAAATCCTCGTTGAATATTATCACAGCATCGGAACATGCCTCCCATACCTATTAAAAAATTATATATAAATATATCATAGAAATTAATATAAACCAGAAGAATATAAACTAATAAAAATCAAGACCTAAAGATTATGTTTTTAAAGTTTTCAGTGTAATAACTATTAGTTATGCAATTTACCAAGATCAACTATTACAAATAGAAACTATTTTTATATTATTAATGCAAACTTAGTAAGTTTAATAATATATATACTAACAAGAAAAACAGAAAGATCTTATTTAATCTAAGCTAGAATTTTTAAGACCAAAAATTTTATGTATACAAATCGGTACACAGTTTACAGAACTGAATGTATGTATATAAATTCACATTAAAATATTATTAAGCATTAGATTATTAAGATCTAAACTGAACAAAATCAGACTCAATAAGGTATTTTCCTCACTTGATTGTATTATTTACATACCAGTCTAATGTCACTTATTACTTGCTTAATAATATAATTAATTCTAAAATAGCAAAACAGGAATTTAAAGGACTAGCTACCTGCATTTTTCGTACTGGAGAATATCGGACTGCCTCTATATGTTTCCATGCTCCTATGCTGGATAATAAAGTACGGGTTTGTTGATTCAACGCGACCACTCGGTTGGAATATTGCTCCTGTGGTGTGTATTCCTGTTCAGCATTACCTTCTAAAAGTAAGATCTTCTTATCTGCCAATCTCTGATTGTTCGCTGAAATTAAACACGTACTTGCAAAACATGCTTCACATATCATAAATGTAGACTACAATAACAAAGCTAAGAAGAACAGATTATGCATTTTGAGAGAAATATATTCAAAGTCTTTTGTCTCACAAAATATTCTGAAAGAATTGCAACTCAATTAAATCCTAATGCCAATTTTGGTATATGTAGTATTTATATTATACGTTTTATATAGTAAATAAATTTATTTTATTAATCAATAAAAAAACATTTTTAAGAACAAAGTTAAATCGTCAAAAATTTATCAGTTAAAAATGTAATAAAATAATTCTTGAGAAATCTTCAATTAAAAGAAAAATATAGCTTAAGAAATTTTATGATAAATATTTAATTTTAGACTTAATTCATCCCCACATCTTACTTTTAAATATTAAAAACGTTTTAAAAAATTTTTTTAAGCCATCAAATAAATATTTTCCTTTCTCGAACATCTGTTATTTACAAATAATAATGCTGATAAAAAACTAACCTATGGCGCACGCCAACGTCGTACCGACCATGCCGCCTCCGGCGATGATGACATCATAGATCTTTTCGTTTTCCGCGATGGTCGAGTAGCTCTTCTTCGAGATCACAGTCGTGCCGGGGATGATACGTTCGCAATTCCGCGACAACGACGCGAGGACGAGCCGGCACGTTGACATCGGTACCTTGACAGTCGCCATTTTACACTGACAATGAGTGCGACAGCGCGCGACTCGATCAACAGGAATGAGAAAGAAGGAAATGAAAAGTCTCTGTTTTTTGCAAAATATGAGCAAACAGGCCAATTTGTTGTTCAATCATTTTTTTGGCTTCTCATTATGTGGCGTCATTTAGCCTTATCGTATGGTAATAAGATTAATAGTGGTATTTTTTTCACATTCTGTCCTTACGAAGTGTAGAAGGCACAGAAAATGATTTGTATGAACTTGTATACATATCGGAATGTATATTTTCGAGAAATGCCTATATTCATGCTTCAGGGATTAAAAGACTTCGACTCCAAAGAGGATTAATAAACCTCGATCTACAGCTAATTTCTTCTAATTAAAGATAATTAATTTTAAATTAAGAGAATTAAACTTCTCACTTTTAGTTTTTAATTAGAAAATCTATAAATCGCAAAAAAAAAACCTGATTTATGCTTAAATATGCTGCGCTAAATATAATATAATTCCAAAGTAGGATTGAAATGCCAGGTATCACATATTATAATCTGAAAAAATAGATTCTAATTATTCTCTTTGAATAAGCATTATATGTTATATGTAAATAGCTCTTCTCTCTACATAATCGCAGAGATTTGAGCATATATAAATTTTTCTGAGTCATCAAAATTTCATCGTTTACTCCAACAAAGTTCATGGCTCGGAGGAATCAACGATTTCGCAGACAATCATTTTCCACGTACGTTCGGCGGTAACATTCACGTTTAGACGAATCGATCGGATTGTTTTGCGCGCCATTTAATTTCATAGAACTGGTTGCAGGGCGTTAGCATTTCCTCGCGAGCTTCACCATGGCGACGGCGACGCCAGGTCGGCGACGCCAGGTCGCATTGATCCCCCGTAGCAGGCACAGTAACGGCCGTCGAAGTTGCCAGTACATTGTTTGTATCCCAGTGTTGGAATCAGGATTTGGTCACAAACCACCTTCTTAGAATCGACCTGGACTTGTATTTGGCTGATTGCTCAGAGGATGAAGGTGATTAGTCACAAGAAACTCCACGAAGAATCTGGTGGAATCTTCTAAGAAAGAGTCAGCAAAATGTCTCAATTTTAATGACGATTAGAACAGAATAAAAGACATATTTGTAGAGCTTAAGACCTTAAGATGAATGTATGTATATTAATCGTATTATCTTGAATGATTTGAAATTTGATGGCTTTTAACAAAGTCGCAGCTGCTATCGATTAAAGATTTAACTGTTTGGTAATTAGAAAAGTTAATTTGATCTACTGTCTTCTTTACCTTATATTTTAATGTTTGCTGTGTTCAGTTATTAGTAATTTTTCTTGTATATCTGTGTATGTCGTGTATATATTATATATAATTAACTTATGCTGTAATTATAGGCAATAGTTGTACGATTCTATTGTGTAATTATCTTTAATTGTGTTATAGCTGTGTGCCTTTGATAATATCTAAATTTCACTATATATTTTAAATTTAATTTCAATTTATTTAATTAAGAAGTACTTTTTTCATCATTAAATTGCGAAAAGGACGTATATGTTAGAAGTTATGAAATACTTATTATATTTAATAGAAAATGTTTTATTAATCTACCAATATTTCATATCTTATAACAGTAAATTCATTAATATCTAAAATTTATTTTATCACATTATTTATTTGTTACGTTAACTACACAATAATTCATAATAAATCAGTGAACCATGACGGAGCACAGAGGCACCTCCTTTTTCCACTCGTGCGTGAAGATGCCGGTGGATCCTTGTAGCCGGCAACCAACTCCTTCTTACGAACGTCCTCGACTGTCATCCGACAGCCGAAGATCAGAGAAAGTGAAAAAAATTAACTTTGCCGAGGGTGAACCTACTGCCGTCGAGAACTCGGAGTCGTCGAGTCCGCGCGACACCTTGGAAAATCTTCTGGAGTTCCTGAAGAGCATACCGGATTATGGACAAGTGCATCATTTGTCTAACGAGCAATTCAAGCAAAAGGTCGAATATCTAAGAAGGAAGCAGCGGCTGCTTCTGCAGAATCTAAGAAACTCGCTGGATGACACAGAGGAGCCGTCATCCCATTTGTCAATCATGAGAAATGAGAGCTCAAAGTCAAAGGATAACAAATCGAACGTCGTCGTTGATGATCTCAAATTGAATGGCAAGAAATGCTACCTCGAGGAGTCGAGAACCAGCAGCCCAATACTGTTTCCGTCTGGAAATTTTGCTGGTCTCGCCGAGGATCAAGATCTATTGACGTATAGGTGATAATTTATAAGTTGTCAAGCAATGAGAGAGTGAGAGAGAGAAAGAGAGAGAGAGAGAGAGAGAGAGAGAGAGAGAGAGAGAGCTGATAAGAAAAAAATCTTAAATTACAAATGCATTGGAAAAATGATATACATATATGAAATTATATCTATTTTTTATTGTCTCTATTGCTTTTATTTGTAAAACACGCTAATTGATTCCACGCGTTGATTCCAGATGCAGAGACAAGGATAAGGAAACGAAGACAATGCGCAACAAGGAGATACTCGCGGCTAATAAAAGCTGGAGCACGTGGAGCGAATCGAAAAGCGATGACAGCGTGAACAGCGATGGCGAAGATAGCATCGAGACAAAAAGTTTACCACCAAGTAGCTCGAAAGAATGGCACCCCACGGTGCCTAAACCGTTCAGTTTCACGCTGAGGTACATGAATATCACGCTGAGGATGAAATTCTTAAAAGATGTTTAAGAGCTTGCATTGAAAAATGCCTGCTTATAGGATGCATGTTTCAAATGCGTCTTTCTGCGTTGTTGGAATATTAACATAAAACTGTATTAGTTTCATTATTAATATAATTTTAGTAGACATTTAACTATCTTTTTTATCAAATTAAAAGCAATTTTCTATATATCAATAAAAGAAAAAATTATTTTATTAAATTATTATTAATAGATATTTATAAATTATTTCATTTTTTAAGTTTGTAAAATGTCTTAAAATATTTTTAGGCTTTTATACCATAATATATATATATATATATATATA